TGTAACTGCGGGGGGATATTGATTAACGTGATTGTATTAGGAAACATAAGATAAACTAGAAATATTCTGTCTTGTCTTGTACTCCAAATAGATCATGTACTCCTATATATATGCCCACGAGGCTCAAGCAATACAACAAACAACAATTCCATCAATCCTGTCTCTCCGGTCTAACACAGAGTGTATGCTAACCATGGTGTGTTTATTTTTAGAGTATAGATAACGACCACACATCATTGCCTTCCTTGTCTCTGCTCAGATCGCAAGAGACCTTTTCATTAGTCGTGCATTAATAGTCCTGCACGCTATGTTACCAGGTACTAGGAAAGTTCATTAGCCATACATTACGAATTTGAATATTTGAGGTATTACATGTCAGATATTACAAATTTAAATATTTGAGTGTTTTTTCCCAATCCAGTCTGATGTACTAGGGAAGTTCATCAGCCAGGTGGACGTACTAAAAAGAAAGAGTTGTTCTGCATGCTCCACTTGGAAAGGCAGTCCTGCTCCCTCTGGCATAGATTACAGTCACATTTGCTGAACTGTTGGCGAGTAAATAATCTCAATCATCACTCTTTGCACTTGGAACTCGGTTCAATTGCTTTATCTCGCTCTGAATAAAATGTTTCCAAAATGGCAAAATCTCTCTTCTCTGCCTAGGTTCATACAGCAGCTACGGTGCCGAGACACCATTGGCAGGTTCCAAAAACCATCACTCTGAATGCTTCAGCTCTCTTGTACACTTGCCAATGAATTCACTTGAACTGCCCTCGCTCGTTACGCAATGGATTCATGAAGAATGAATTGCAGTACAACATTCCAAATGATGCAATTCATTCATGACAAAAGAATGAATTGCGGCAGAGCATTTCTGAAAAGCAGACTATAATTTAAGCACTTATAATAATATAACAAGAGTAGTTCTCCAAGCTCTTCTGAAAATCAGGTGCAACCTGCTAGTCGACAAGTGGATAATCGGCTACAGCCAAAAAATAGAAACAAGACACCCGTGTATATTTGCTAGTAAGTTTTAATATTAAGAAGAGCACCAAGTAAACTCTACAAAGGAAGACATCAATAAAAGGACAAGTCAATTCTTCAGTTCAATAAACAGAGACAAGAGACAGCTAGATTGCTGACGATTTAAGGCTCAGTTCTTTTCAGGCTTATGAGAGGCTTATGGTGAAAATTAAGCTCAAGCCGAAAAGAACTCGTTTATGTGCCATTGGCTTAATTTCCAGCGACAGCCCTCTCCTTCACGTTTCAGAGAAGCCAGCGAAGGGCAGCTTCCCGAGCGCAGCCCTTTAAAAAGTGAAGCGGTATTTCTCATTGCCCTGTTTGTCGCTTGTATTTACGGCAAAACTGCCACCGCTCAGCCTACAGAACAAGCCGTCCATGGCCCATGCACGTACAGAACAATCTGCGTACCTGACAACATTGCCTTCTTTTCTCAAAAAAAAAAAGAAAGACAACATTGCCTTCGTGCTGCAGGTAGGGTTTCCGCCGCCACCGTCCTGCCTTCCCCCGCCACCGTCCAGGCTCCCTCCGCCAATCACCACCAGCCGCCGCCACCGGCGCCGCAGTCGTCGCTCGCATGGAGTCTCCTGGGTAGCCGACGCAGCTACAGATCTGCTCGGACGCCCCGCTCCTGGAGGTCTGTCCATTGTTCTTGTACTCGAGGGACGCCCCACTCCAGCTCTCCACTACAACTACGACATAACTCAATATTGTTTAACGAGAACAAAATTACAGTCCAAGGGTACCGCAGACTTTTCACTAGTATATATGAAAATAAGTTGAATAAATAGAAACAAAAAAAAAAGAACTGGATGGCTTATTCACAGGGGGCTTATTTTCACTGCAGCTTCTCCTAGGCTTAATTTCACTGCGGCTTATGCACAAGCCACAGCTCAAAAGAACTGGCCCTAAGTACTGAGAAGAACACTACCAATAAACAGCCAAAGCTTCTTGATTATAACTTGTCTAGCCGGCTCATAGTGCACCTAATTCATACACACTGCAACAGTCAAAGAAAAAAAAAAGGAATACGTGGCTGGCACTTACAGAATCTAAAGGGAAGACAATCTGGGACCTGCGCTTGACCATGATAGCCTTTCTTCTGCTTATCAGTATAAAAGTTTCATTTCTCCAGCTTATCTTAACATCAAACATCACATGAAGCATTGATTCCTTAAACTTAGCCACTAAACTGAAATGATTAATATTATTCCAAACCATACAAGATGCAACCCAAAGGCAGAATTATAACAGTATGTTTGTGTTTCAATACCTAATCAAATGCAATGGAATCATGAACTGCAAACAGAGCATTTCATCGAAAAGTTGCTCATAATTAATGCAATCTTTCAATTAAAATAATTCTCCTAGCTCTTGTAAGAAAATCAGTTGCCACTTGGTAAGATCATGGCTCTGCACATAATAGTGGACCCAATTCACCCGCATTGCACCGGTTACAGAGAATAAAAGATCATGGCTCTGCAGATCAGTACAAGTTTTATTTCTCAATCATATGTTAAGATCGAACATCAGATGAAGCATTGGTTCCTTAAAATGGTCAGCTTCTTACGGCCACACACATGGTAATCAGGTTGGGTACAGGAAAAAATAATTCGGGAGGAAGGCAACTGAGGCACCAATGGTGTACCATCAACTTTGTTGTGAACAATAACACCATTCCTCCAAACAGCACCACAGCCTCAACAGGACTTTACTTCTGATCTCCTCCACTCACAATCTGTCAGGGCCTGAATTTCTGGGTGCCTCTTCAGAACTTGCCGCAGCTCAGCTCATAATGCCACTGCGTTGTTAGTTGGTATAACACACAGTAGCATGATGGGCGTCTTCAGACCCATTCCCACATATGTTGCACTCCAGGTCCAGGGTAACTCTCTTCCTATCATGTTTTGTCACGACACGCCAGTGCCTGCGACACGCCGACCCAAGATTTTCAAGTGTTTTGTTGTCTCCTTATTTGCAGAATAGACATGCTTGCCCTTAACAAAAAACCATTTTGACCATCAACATGCTTGCTCATATTTCACCAAAGGGAGGTAAAACAACAGGACCAATGACTGCACAGATCACAAGTTCCTTAAAAGACCTAGGAATCTGGTGACCAGTTAGGCACTTGGGCTGGACACACATCTCCGCAAACAAAATGCCAACAACCACAGCCATAGATGATGCACTATGCTCACTCATACAGAGGAGGATTCAACTCATTTTCTTTCTTGCAAACTTGGTGCACTATGCTGCAGGAGGAAACATAGGAGTTCAATGCAAGTTCTATCATCAACCTGAAAGATGCCTACACACGCTACTTTAGAAGAGACCTTGTGATGTGCACTTCCGCAGTCGCTACGGCTTGGCTTATCATCTGCAAATGTGGTAGAGAAAAGGTCATGTGGAACTAGAGAGGCTTCGGCTCAAATCATTATCACAACTGTGTTATACCTGCTCAGTGAAGGATCCAGCTCCTTCCAATCGATGGCCTGGCACCTTCTCAGATATCGCATTTGCATCTGTTTCCAGAACAATCCTGCAAGGCCATCTGTGAAGAATCAAGTATATTCAACAATTTATTTGCAGGTCCACTACTCATCAAATAACAATCTACCCGACCACAAAGTCTGTATTATCATGGCGCAAGTGCAAATGTTAACTTCCAGATCATTTCGCACATGTCCTTCACAGCTCAAGAGATTAGTACCTCGTAATCTGAACTGCAAGCTTACCTGACAGTGAACTATTTTTTCCTTATGATGGCAGCTGATTGCTTGCACTAGCCGATAATAATACAACTTTAGGTAAGTTACCAAACAGTATTGTGTGGGGATGGAAATTGGGCACGACAGTTTCTTGAAAACTCTGAATAGGAAACAATCCCTAACGCTCAAATTAACAACCAGAAACTCCAGTAAAAAACACGAGTAAAAAGGGTGCCACAAACACCAGCCCCAATTAGTCCTTTCTCATCTTTGCTATCAACTCTACATAGGTGATCCTAATTTTCAAAGGAATAGTGTCGGTATAATATTAATTCATTAAAATAGTTAGCAGCCAAAGTGAACTGATGATTCCAAATGATGCAACAAGAACCTGAAATTATAACAGAATATTTCAAATGATGCAAGGGATTCATGAAGAATGAATTGCAGCAGAACATTCCAAATGATGCAATTGATTCATGAAGAAGGAATGAATTGCAGCAGAATATTTCGGAAAAGCTACTATAATTTAATCACTTAATATAACAAGAGTAGTGCTCCAAGCTCTTCTAAAAATCAGGTGCAACTTGCTAGCCAACAAGTAGATAATCGGCTAGCTACAGCCAAAAAATAGAAACAAGACACCCGTGTGCTAAGTTTTAGTATTAAGAAGACCATCAGATAAACTCTACAAATGAAGACATCGGTAAACGGATATAATTCAATTGTTCAATTCAGTAAACAGAGAGAAGAGGCAGCTACATTGCTACCTTGAGTACAGACAAACTACTACATAAAGGGAGAGAGGGGAGGGGGGAGGGGATCTATTCTCCGGTTCAAGAGAACAGTGACACGAGTCAGAACAGTTGCCAACATTTCAAACACTGAACCAAAAGAAAGGAACACAGGCTAACCAATGATAACCTTTCTTCTCTTATCAGTACGTATTTCATTTGTCCAGCTTATTTTAGGATTGTCTTAGCATCAACACTCATGTCAGCCAAATGATTTGTAGTTTTAGCATCTGCACTCACGGCAGCCACTTCAGCCCAAAAGGATATTTAGAGAAATATAACACAACCATGTAACACTCAGAGCTTCTTGATCATAATTTTTTATGGATCAAAAAAGAAGCTAGCGGCCTCATAGTGGATGCAGTTAATACATACTGCAGTTCAAACGGACATGGGGAGCCAGGCCCATAAGAAGCATTACCACAATCAACCTCCCTGAGATGAAAGGCTGTGTGTTGACAACATAATCATCTGGTCAGATGAAAGGCGACGCGTTGACAACATAACCCTCAAGTGTGGGAAAGAAGGTATGCTGAACAAGAGATTGTTTCAGCCGATTTTGAGTAGGACCAATGCCTCTGCCATGGAAACTGGCAACCAACTTGCCATCCATATCAACCTGAAGCAGCCAATCTCCAAATTTGGCCAGCACAAGCGCATGACCATCCGAAGAGGCAAACACCACACAGCAACGTTTGTTAATCTTCCCAAACTGTGCAGTGAGCTCTGCAACCGGCAAATTGACCCGATATTTGAAGGCCCAAACCTCATTGTCATAGTCCTGTGCCATCCAGATATCAATGGATGTCGTTGGATCAGTGAAGATGGAGGCGGCAAGCATTCCATCCATCTCAAACAGGTTGACAGGGCCAGGAACAACCGGAGCAGACATCTCACGAAACAACTCGGTGATGGTGTCAAATACCATTATCACATTGTGCCGGTGCCAATGTAGGCTAGCATGGAACATGACAGATCCGAAGGTGTTTATGAGTCTCTCCACATCCCTGCACCCTATGTGCCTGGGCAGCTGGCCGGAGCCTAGAGAGAGGATGTAGCAGCCAGCTTGAGCGTCAGGTGCCCGTTCCGAGGAAGACAGGTAGAGCAATAGTCGGTACTCCCCAGTTCCAGTTGGGCTGTGTGGATACATCCCCAAGGGTATGAAGCCAGGAAGGAGCGGGAGACGAGCAAACTGACGAGTCGCCGGATTACAGAGGACTAAGTAGCCAGTGGCCATGGAGAGAAGGAGGAGGCCGTCGCAGGAGGCGAACAGGCGGAAGTAGGCATCATCAAATCGCACGACGGACTGGAGCCGGCCGGTGGCGGCCTGGTGCTCCAAGGGAGAGGGGGTGGGGATGGTGTCTAAGGAGTGGCCTCCGTAGCCGATGCTGCTCAAGTCGTCGAGGAGAGGGAGGGTGGGCTGACGGGCGTGGTGGGCGAGGAGGAAGTCGCGGGTGGAGGTGGCGCGGCGCCAGGCGGGGCAGACGGCGCGGCAACGGAGGAGGGATTTGGGGGGCAGGCGGACCAGGATCTCCCAGATGAGGATCTCCTCCGGGAGGCTGCGGTTGGGAGGCGGCGCTCTTGCTCTTGCGGTGTCCGCCATGGTCGCCTCCGCCTCGCCGGTTGGTGCGAGCCCTCGATCTGTCCGACGAGCAGAGCGAGTGGAGTTGTGGTGGTAGTGACGGCGGCGGCGAACGGAGAGGAGAGAGGTAGGTTTTATTTCTAGCGGATGCATTAGGCCGGGCCTGGGCTTAGCCCATCTCTCGTTCTTTAACAGGCTGGACTTGCCCCAGGTTCGTTTGCAACTGAAAATACTTTCTAACTGGCAAATCCCTCGACGGCAACAACCATGCGTGCATTTCTCAAAAAAAAAATATTTTAGAGCAGTTTCCAGTCTCATTTCTTCTTCTTTCCTGTTGGGTAGTTTCCAGTCTTATTTTAGTTACATTATACTGTAGTTCTAAAATATTTCGTCTGTTGCAACGAAACCTGGAATTGATATTTGTCTTTGAGTAGTGAGAATTAAATGAGAGGGCCGTTTTTGGCTCTGGGTGCATATGCTTCCTAATAAAAAAACAAATTCAAAATAAATAAAATTTAAAATTTCTGACTTTTTTTGTAGATGTTCTTGTTAGTGCAACAAGTGTGCTTGCCAATTTTCATGCGAATTCGTCGGTCAAAACAAAAGTAAGTGTAACATTTAGAGGTAACATTTGTCGTTCAACTTATTTTTTTCTTTTTGCACAGATCAAAATACTTAAGTTTTCCTCCTAAAAAATTGCAAGTAGCGTTTTGATGTGACAATGAACACATCTATTTCTTTCACATTTTTTGACATTTACAAAAAACATTTTTGGTGGGCGGGAGCATATATATGCTCCCAAGAGCCGAATTTGCTTTCCGGAATTAAATTTTCTGTTGTCCTAGAATTTGAATTGGTGACTGGAATTAGATTCAAGCTATAGTCGTTTCACTATATTCGTTGTCATTCGGCCATACTCCACATGTTAACCATTTTCGGTCGAAGTCTGAAATAAACCTTAAGGTTGTAGAGCTCGACGCAAATGAACCTCCACCTTCAACTCCCTGAAGTTTGTACCTTGTCCTCTGCAATCCCGGTCGTTTTTAACTGTATTATGTTTGCAAATTAAACTTTGTCAGCGATCTTTAACGAACTTGATTTGCTGGATTCAAAAAATGCAGGAACAGGAAAAACCACAAAAATGCATTGTCATATTCACATTAATCCAGTGGGATTGATTTGTTGTCAAAGTTTGTTTCATTACACCGAAATGATATTAAATTAACGAGAAGCACTCTTAAAAAATCTTTTCCAAGAGGTTGTGTAGACATATATTTAATGAAATATGATGTAAAAATCGTTAACAACCATTATCATAGGATTTGATACTACAAATCAAAGGACCCACATAGAAAAAAATCATCCGGATTATATCGTCTAAATCTTCTATCAGTAACCCTCACATCATGAATATATGTATGTTCTACACTGGCCCCATCGATTATTACTAACTAGAAGATTCCCCGCGCGTTGCAGCGGGAACTTGTGTAGTGCATAAGTAAGTTCAAATGGACAGAGAGACTTTTTTAGTTAGGCAAGTTCAAATGGGCAGAAATAGATCATGCAACTGCAAAATAAGGAAATAGCACTCGTTTTACATATATGAGATCTCTATGTTTAAGAGTATTACACTGAAACAAAGAAATATATATGATAAAAAGGATCTATAAAATAGGAGAAGTCATGCTAACATTCTATTACAATGCTTAAGTGTTTGTCTTACAACGAACAACAAAGGCATTTATACACCCATCAGGTGAAGAGGAAATAACAAAACTTGTGGTTTGATTTTCTCCATGACTAAAGCAGTAAATAATAAGCAACACAATTCACAGACTACTGTTGCTAATAGTGAGTTCAACAAAATTATTCATAAACTATAGGTAAGAAAGTCATCATATTTATTGCAAATGTTCAAGAAGAGCGAATCTGCAGTACATACATTGTAGGGATGAATTATTCAAAGTAATTATGAAAAGAGGCACATCATGTATATAAGAGGAAATTGATTATTATCACCTAAAAAGGAATGAAACATTCACAACCATGACTTAAAAATATTAAATATGTAAATAGTAACTTCTTTTTATTTAAGTACACCATTAGGAATGAACACTTGCATAACCTACTTCAGTATGATGTCCCTTTCTTATAAGCATTGCATTGAACATGTATCGGTCTCTCTTTTGTTCAGTGTGACCATAATCATCTTCCAGAACAGTAAATTTTGGAGGAGACATGTAGAATGCAACTAGGTGATACCCCGCGCGTTGCTGCGGAAAGGAATGCGAATATACCTATTCATAGAATTACAGGAAGAAAATTATAGAGAAATTAACATGTTAAGAATATAAAGAAAAAATGCTAACTGACTGGCGGATTGCCATTGGCGCAGAATGATTCTAATCTGTAAGAAGTCTCGAATAACAAAGAAATGACACTGAAGCATCGAGATAAAAAAAGTGGTTCGAATACTTGTAAAATTTGGTCCAATGTTGCAATTTGTCTTGATCTCTAATACAAAGGAAATAACACTGGCGATTGCATAGAACACAAAATTTCCGTAGAGCATCTTCGAACGAAACAGTTGAAAAAAGCCTCGTCAAATTTGCATTGAGCACGACAACAAATTAGTGGGAAAATAAATTCTCACCTCAATTATGGGTCTCACAAACAAATAATAATGGGTCACCTTTGCCACATAATTAAGACAAAATGACTGACTTTAGCCATAAACGTTAATTGTATCTGCTTGTGAAATATATATGGCCTCTTCACGGAGATGTCAACTAAATCTTATATTCCAAAGCCAATAGCGTATCAAAGTATTATAAGGTACAAACATTAAATTAACCACAATATAAAGATGAGATGATTTATTTTTAATTCAAAGCACCGACATGGGCTTCTTGATCTGAGCAACAGAACAGTGTATCTAAGAACATACTCTAAGAATATATATTTGTCGTTCAACTTATTTTTTTTCCTTTTGCACAGATCAAAATACTTAAGTTTTCCTCCTAAAAAATTGCAGGTAGCATTTTGATGTGACAGTGAACACATTTATTTTTTCACAATTTTTTGACATTTACAAAAACATTTTTTATGGGCAGGAGCATATACTTCCAAGAGCCGAATTTGTTTTTCGGAATTACATTTTCTATTGTGCTAGAGTTCAACTCGGTGACTGAATTTAGATTCAAGCTATAGTCGTTTCACTATATTCGTTGTCATTCAGCCATATACTCCACCTATTAACCATTTTTAGCTGAAGCCTGAAATAAACTCTAAGGTTGTAGAGCTCGACGCAAATGAACCTCGACCTTCAAATCCTTGAAGTTTGTACCTTCTACTCTGCAATCCCGGTCGTTTTTAACTGCATTAAAAAATGCAGGAACAGGAAAACTTTGCCAGCGATCTTTTAACGAGCTTGATTTGCTGGATTCCAAAAATTGCAGGAACAGGCAAACCCACAAAAATGCATTGTCATATTCACATGAATCAAGTGGGATTGATTTTTTTGTCAAAGTTTGTTTGATTGCACCAAAATGTTAGTATTAAAATAACGGGAAGCACTCTTAAAAAAACTTTTCCAAGAGGTTGTGTAGACAGATATTTAATGAAATATGATGTAAAAATGGTTAACAAAAAGTATCATAGGATTTGATACTACAAAACAAAGGACCCACATAGAAAAAAATCATCCGGATTATATCGTCTAAATCTTCTATCAATATCCCTCACATCATTGAGATATGTACGTTCTACATTGGCCCCATTGATTATTACTATTGATGTTGTTATCTTCATCCAAAAGATATGAAAGGTATGTCCCTCAAGGACGACGAGATTTCAAATACTTCAAGTTCACCCAGATTTTGCGCATCTTGATTCTTGCTTTGATTAAATAATTGCACAGAGCCTCATGATTCATTTATAACGACCAACCAAGCAAGCACAATGTGCCATGCTGACCTTCTTTACCTTCCCCTACTGCCTACTTTATGTCCAGCAGAACATCGCGGACTATATGTAGCTCGGAGCACATACCTATGTATCTCAATGATTCCACCACTAATCCCAGTCGCTACTTGTGTCAGAAAGAAAAGGGTGTCTGTATGCGTACTTAGGATTGCGAGGCACTGGGAATGAGTGCATTCTAGCGTGAGAAGGCATCGGCGCCTGTACTCAAGAATTCAGTATCTGCTGCGCACGAGAAGAAAATATCCCTTTTTCTACCACTAACAGCCAAATTGAAGTATCTGTTCTGTGTTAAAGAAGCGGGTAGTTAAGAGCTTGTGCTGACGAGAGTAGCAAAAACCTCAAGAGAAGTCCTCTAGAACCTGATGACAAGTAGGATGAACTTCTTCCACATGTGTTTGTCTGATGTATGGTAAGAGAAACACAATTTCAGTGTAAGTTCTAATTGTCACTGGGTATGCATGGATGCTTGTTCCTACTCTTGTCAGATTTTGGCTGCATACATGCACATGCACTGAATTCAGATCCAGTGCAAGTTAAAAACAGGGGATAAATCATTGTGCCATGTTCCAAGTTAGAAACTGAGAGAAGATGGGAAATGAGTCAGTAGCAAATACATATAGCTGCAAGAAAATCGGTTTTGATTGCTGACTGCACAATCTTAACCATACATCTCCGAAAATATACTACTATTGCTCTTGGAATTTTAGAGCTGCTGTAGTGTTGCTTTATATAAAGATGTCCTGCTCACTTGATTGTGTAGCATAGGTGTGTAGGTAAGAATTCAAACTGAACGATAATAATATCAGGCTTAGAGATGCACATCCCTAATAACAATGATCACAAGTGTGTGTAGCAGCATATGTGCAACTTTGGTCGCTGACTATAACAAATTGTTGGAAACACAGACCACTATGTGCATTCAGATAAACTCTGTACACCCCTTGTTAGTTACACTAGCACAGGTCTGAGCAATAACTTCAACTTCTGCATACTAGTCGGAGTGATCAGGCTGTGTAGATTAGGCACCACCATCTAGA